GAAGCCGCGGGGCGCCTTTAGCTGTGGTCTGGCCTCTGTTTCCCATGGAGCAGAGCAGGCCTCAGCTCTCCAGGAACCAGGGAAATGTTGCGTTTTTCAATCTGCCACTTCAGCATCCCTCTGGGATCTGCCTCTGCAGCGGCCCCACCCGGCCGCCTGCTCAGCGCTTGCCTTCTCTCTCCTGTACTGCCCCCAGGATGGTGGCTCTCTGGACCAGGTGTTGAAAGAAGCCAAGAGAATTCCAGAAGAGATCCTGGGGAAGGTCAGCATTGCGGTGAGTGTGCAGGCGCCACGTCCCTGCCATTGCAGCACTGGGTGCGTGCACGCGCTCACAGCCCCGTGCTCTGCCACTTGATTCTCACTTATGCCCGCTCCACATGGCCAGCTGTGTGTGTCGCTACAGCCCCTGCAGAGAGGGAGACGGCCAGCACCAGTCTCCACTGGCTGGGTACTGAGTAGGGGCATCCCTTTGCCCATAAAATAGGGGTAATGCTCTCCTGCCCCATATACCAGGTGCCAGGTTGCATGGGACCCTGATGATGTGGTCCCAGGCACACAGGGTCCCCCAGTGCAATATCACGAGTGTTTCTTCTCTGACTTGGTGACACCATCAGTTTGGGGGGCTGGGGGTCCTTAGCACAGCCCGGAACCAAAGCATTCAACAGATGGCACCTATTGGGCGGGTACGACTGCTGTTCGGAGGCAGGGTGGCCAGCGCATGCTCACAGCCCTAACAGTGCCTTGGGCCCTGTCTCAGCTTCCGTGGGTCTCGACCGCTCCTCTGAGACCGAGGGGGTGGCAGTGTTTGCCTCGTGGGTGGGTCGTCATGTGAGAATCGGTGAGGGAGGCATCTGTACCCACCAGTGGGCTGTCACTGCCCTCACTTTGCCTCTCCTCTGCTCGTCCCCACCTGAAAACGCATTCCCTGAGCTAGTTCCACATGCTGTGGCCACTGAGGTCTGGCCTGCAGGCCTGTCCAGGGCAGACTCCCCCCTGTGGCACGGCCCTGCTGACCTTCCACCCTGTGGCTCCCTCACAGGTTCTGCGGGGCCTGGCGTATCTCCGGGAAAAGCACCAGATCATGCACCGAGGTAAGAGGCGCAGAGCCCCTCCCGGGCCACGGGCCAGTGGGTGGGCCTGAGCCACGCCTCACCCGCTGGCTCTGCTCTCAGATGTGAAACCATCTAACATCCTCGTCAACTCCAGAGGGGAGATCAAGCTGTGCGATTTTGGGGTGAGCGGGCAGCTCATCGACTCCATGGCCAACTCCTTCGTGGGAACTCGATCCTATATGTCTGTAAGTCCTTTGAGAGGCGTTTTAACATCGCGTGCCATACCCTCCCCTTCCCGTTTGCTCTTCCCCATTTTCCAGAAGCCTGCATGTTCTCGTAATATACTCTCCTTTTCCTTTGCTGGATTTCTCCTCTGAAATTCTCATTTCCACCATGTTCTTGCTCAGGTTTGTCTCTGGGAATGCCTGCCTGGTTCTTCCCACTGGTAATAAAAACCCAGTCAAGAAGGGTAGTAGTTAATTTTTGAGCCAAGAAACTAGACCTCAGGTGTTTTAGGAAACAACCAGGTGGTAGTTGAAGCAGATTCTGAGAAGTTAGTCTAGGGATTACTGTGGGAAAGGAGGCATCCCACTATGGTTCTTTCCCAAAAGTGCCAGGGATTTGGGATTTTAAAGCGATGCTGTCAGCCCTGGCTGGAAGCTTCTCCCAGAGCGGGCGGAGGGAGTATACAGAATCACTCTGGTCTCTGAAGGGTTAGCAGGGCTCAGGGGAGGCGTCTGAGGGGACAGCGGGAGACACTCAGATCCACCCTGGCCTGGTGAGCCCCCCCAGCTTCCAGGTTCATCTGGCTCCCTCTGGCTTTTCTTTCCTCTCTGTCTCCCCCACCAGCCGGAGCGGCTGCAAGGCACTCACTACTCGGTGCAGTCAGACATCTGGAGCATGGGCTTGTCCCTGGTGGAGCTGTCCATTGGAAGGTACCCCATCCCCCCGCCGGATGCCAAGGAGCTGGAGGCCATATTCGGCCGGCCCATGGTCGATGGGGCGGAAGGAGAGCCTCACACCATCTCACCGCGGCCGAGACCCCCCGGACGCCCCATCAGTGGTATGGCCTGAGTCTAGCACTTCCGGTTTGGATGGGCAGTGACCAACATGGGGAATGCCATGCTGAGGGGTGGCAGCTGCCTCCCCTCTGGCCCTTCTTAGCACCACCTGTCCCCTGGGTTGTGCTAACTGTGGTCAGCAGTCCTCAATGGTCCTGAGGCTTCTAGGGCCGTGCTAGAAGCAGCGCCCCCGACCTGTCCCATCCGGGACAGCTGCACCTGTTGCCACCAGCTGGTGGGATCTAGACGCCAACCCCTCAGCCAAGCCACTGGTTGGGTTGGATTTTCCAACATTTTATCACAGAAATGTCCAAGCACACAAAACGAGAGGCTTGCCCAGGGAATGCCCTTAGGCGCACCACCTAGCCACTGCCCTGAGCCTTCTGCTGTGTTTGGGCCAGGCCTTCCAGGGAGACCCAAAATTGAAAGGAACTAGATTCAGAATTTCCTTCGGTGGTTTGTTGGACACACCGGCAGCTCAGCATGGGAGGGGTCAGGAGGCTGGGGGGCACTGGGCTCCCAGACAATTCTTGATACCAAGAGCTGCCGCCTGTGAGGTGGAAGGCTGAGAGGTTCAGGCTGCTGCTTCCACACTTGGAGGGTGGCAAGGGGGAGGGTCGCAGCTGAGCAGAGCCTGGGAACAATGCTCGACAGGAAGGGAACTGAGTTAAGTAAGAGTCCAAGGGAACATACAGTGGACTGTGGTCAGCTGGTTTCATAACAGTTTTATCCAGATAAAATTCAAGTACCGTATGATTCACTCTTTTCAAGCGTATAATTCAATGGGTTTGGTATCCTCACAAGATTGTCCAACCATCACATCTATCTAATTCCAAAACACTCTATCACCCCAAAAGGGATCCCCAACCCTGGCACCCACAAATCCATTTCTTGTCTCTGAATTTGCCGCTTCTGGACATTCCGCGTAAATGGAATCACACCCTGTGGCCTTCGTGCCTGGCTTCTCTCACTGAGCGTCACGTTTCCAAGGTCCATCCATGTTGTCCCAGTGTCAGTGCCTCACTCCATTTCATGGCCGAATAAGACTCCCCTGGGCCATGTGTTGTGTGTCTGTTCACCATTGATGGGCACTTGGCTGTCAGATGGTGATTTTCACAGTGTTTTCTAGTCCAGGCCTTCTTTCCGGGGCTGCACCCAGACTGCTGGGTGTCTTGATTTCCCCTAAGGAGAGAATCTTGCCCCCATCGGTGTCCTCAGGCCCTTCCCCCGAGCCTCCCAGTCCAACTCCCAGCGGCCTCCCTGGTGTTCCCCTTCGGCCCCTTCCCAGCTGGGAGGAACGGTGGGTCATGCCAGGCCACCTTGGCCTGCCACCATCTCCTCCAGCCCCTGCCCCAGCTCCGTGCCCATTTCAGGATAAGACAGAAGGGGAAGTCCAACTGCCAAACCCAGACCTGGCCAGCTGGGTCTAGGACGGGTCAGCCACCCCCAGCCAGCCTACTGCTGTCTCCACCCGAAGCTCCATGCAAGGTCACGCTGCAGTCAGCAAACCGCCACCACCACCCACCCCGCTGCGCCTGGGTGCCACTAAAGCAGGGGCTGTGCCGTGGCACCACCTGGGCACAGCACCGTCCCAAATGTGCAACTCCTCAAAACGCTCCTGTTCATTTTGGTGTGTTATTAATTCATTAGGAGTAAAGTTACTTTTCTAGGAAATGAACTTAGTAGCCAGGCCAGGGGAGCCTCCCCTGGTTCAGGCATTGTGGGGAGAAGAGTGCTGGCTTATTCAGCACACTCAGACTTACTGCCCAACAGGAACACATCAGCCACTCGCCCATTTCACCCCATTTTTGTTTCTCCCCTGGGCAGGCCACGGGGTGGACAGCCGACCGGCTATGGCTATCTTTGAACTGCTGGACTACATTGTGAACGAGGTGGGTACCTGAAGGCCCTTTGGCACGTCTTCATGCCAACGAATTAAGTTATTCCTGTAGGAACACATTAGCAAAAAGGGAGAATTCGACACATAGACTAAGGATTTTGTTGGGGGAGAGATGGAGACCATTCTTTTCCATAGGAGGTTATCAGGTGTAAAAACATGGTCTTACTTCCAGCCATACTGCAGAAACCCACCCCTCCCCCAAGGGACATTTTTTGTTTTTATAAAGATGATCCCAGAATTCCCACTGCAGCCCTCTCCCTCCAAGGCCAATAGCCAAGTATTAGGGCCAAGAAGCCAAGCCACTCCCAGAGCTCTGACACCCCGCATCTCTCAGAGCATCTTGGAGTCTGTGTCCATAAAGTCATAAATAGTCCCACTCCCTTGGGGAAAGTCCAGGTGCCCCCTCTTCTCTGGGAAGGAGGCACAGAGCACCTGGAAGGGTAGTATGAATATTCCCGTTGTACAGACCGGTAAACCGAGGCCTGAGGATGGAAGCAGCCTCCTTAGAGGTCTGCAGCAGGACCTGTGAAGCCTCCCTCTCAGCAAGGCCTGGGCGCCTTCCCTGGGGCTGACGTGTATTTTCGGTGGCCCTCTGGAGGCAGGGCAAAGAAACAGGGTGGCTGGGCTGCCTGTGGTGTGGGACTTGGCCCAGGGCTGAGAGGTCGGTGGTGACAGACCAGGGTGGGGTGCCTGGTGACACAGCTCTGCCTGTACCTGACAGTGCCACCCAGCAAGCACCTCCCTCCCTGAGCGGGAAGGCTGGGTCCCAGGACTGGGAAGGTGGAAGGAGCTGAAGAGGAGGCCTTGTCACCACCCTGGGACGTGTGTGTCAGGCCAGGCTCCTCGGGCTCCCCCCGCTTTCAGGCCCTAACCCCTGGAACTAGCTGCCCCTGTAGTCTAGACCTTCAGCTCATTCAAGACACCCACAGGTGAGTGGCTCAGGCAGTGTGACACCACCCTTGTCCATAAATGAGGGTGAGCCCTGCTCTCCTTCCTTGTAGAACCAGTGTGATCCCCAAATGAGACTTTCGAAAGAAAACCCTGGAAGAGGCCAACCCAGTTAGCAGAGCTGGAGGCCAGGCCAGCCAAGAAGCTGCTGGACAGGAGAGGGGATGGGTGCCCCCTCCGCTTCTAGCAGGGTGAAGGGACTGGGCTAGGAGAGGTGTGCCCTGAGGGTCCCCAGGTGCCATGCTGTCCTCACCTGGGCAAGGCTGGGAAGTGTCTTCTCCCTAATTCCAGAACCAGCGTGAGCATCTGACTCCCACCTGTCTGTTCTCTCCCACAGCCGCCTCCTAAGCTGCCCAGTGGTGTCTTCACCCAGGACTTCCAGGAGTTTGTGAATAAATGGTAAGGTGCCACAGCCTCCAGTGCGGTCTCGGGTGGGTGGGGCTGGGTACCAGGCCCTCCTCGGGGAACATAAGGGCCCTCCTGGAGTGGGCCGCCCACACTTCCAGCCATCAACCTAGAAGTCTGCTTCTCTGGCCCTGGCCCAGCCCCTCTGCCGAGCCGACCACTCAGGACTCCGGGTGGACAGCAGCGTCCGGTGGGACACCTGTGGACACCTGAGAACCCAGGTTCCCTTTCCAAAGCCAACTCACAGTGTCCAGCTGCCGTGCCCAACACCCGAGTGAACCTGGGTTCCAGGCACTTGGGCAATAAAGCTGTTCCCACCTTGCTTTCTGCCAGAAGGCTCCCCGAATCCCTCGAGCCCTGCAAGCCACCACCTTCTAAATAAGCCTTCCTCGCCGGAGTCTGGGAGGCGGTCAGCTGTTCCCTCTGAAGAAGGGGGATGAGCAGACACGGCCCAGGGGCACCTGGAGCCTCTGTGGCTCCCAGCAGCAAACCTGCGCTGGGCAGAGAAGGTGCCCTGGCCTCCTGCCTTCCGGCCAACGCTGTGTGGCACAAATCCAGTTACCCGTTGTCCGTGTAAACATTTTTGTCTCCATGCAAGGTTTTCTCTGTGTTTGAAGAATTGCCATTCGGCCCCAAGCTGCTTTGAGCAGCTGCGTTTCGGCAGTTCTGCTTTTTTTAAGGAAAAGGTTCCATTTTGACCATCGGACTCCCAAACGTGTGGGTTTTATGGAAAATGGAGCTGCAGTTGCTGCCAGGCCTCTGACTGAGCAGCAGCAGGGGGTTTCCCACCTCCTCTCCCTTTCCCTGTTTCGTGGTCTCAGACCCTGTCCCTCCCTCCCCGAGGCGCACTGCCCTTATACCTCAGCCAGTGCTGGAGCCCTCACCCCGGGGACCAGGCAGCAGAGTGATGGCGGTTCCCGTGGCCACCAACTCACTGCGCTGTCTTGTTGTCTCCCCATGCTCCGTCTTGCTGCTCCACCTCATGGAACCCCCAGCCTCATTAAGAACCCAGCTGAGCGAGCAGATCTGAAGATGCTCATGGTGAGTGATGCTGCAGATTCCGGGATGCCCAGGGCGCAGCTGCCGCCCAGGGCCCACCCTCCTCCTCAGGAGAGGGAAGCCCCGGCCAGGCGCCCTGAGCCAGCTCTTGTCACGGGGCGTGTGTTCAGCTGGCGACCCTGTGGGTCTCCTGGCCCATAGTGGGAATGACCCAGAGCCGGCTCTGCCCTCTCAGCCCCTCAGGAAACAGAAGGGCCCAGCCATGCGTGGTTGGGGCTGTTTCTGCAGAATGATGGGCTCTGAGGCTTCTGGAGGCTTCCATCGTGGGCTTGTCAAGCCGCCCGCGGTCAGGGAGGCCACGAGGCTGGTGCTGTCCTTGGATGTCCCACACCATTCAGTGTCCTTGAAAACCCAGGTGGCCTCTGAAACCTGCCTTCCCCTCAGGACCTTTGCACAGGATGGTCCTGCCCCCAGGGATGCGCCCTGTTCCTCTCAGCGCTCCGGGCTCCATGTCTGTGAGTCTTGCCTTCAGGGCCTCTGAGAAGGCCCTGCACCTGCTCTAATCCCGCCCCACTATTAGTTGTGGCAACAGGCTGTGTCCTGGTTGTCATCACCGTTTGCTGTGGTCAAAATAGGAAGCCTTGCCTGGAGCACCATGTGGGAAGGGGTCTGCCTCTGCCGGATCCTTTCTAGAAACTTCTTACTGTGTCTGACATAGATTTTCCAGTAATGTGTGCTAAAGAATGCGGATACAGTGTAAGAGACATGTGTTCGTTGTAAAAGATACAAACACGAAATGGAGAAATGCGATTGTGTTGAAACCCCCTGTAGTGTCCCCGGCTCCCCAGCTCTCCGAGCACGCTGTGCAGAAACCTCCCAGGTCTCCCTGCCTGAGTAAAACCGTCTGCTGTTGGGGCTACCTTTGCACCCACTCTCCTGCCGCCCTAAACCACAGGAGTTCGCTCCCTGCTTCGGTGTTTCACTCAAGCCTGCCCCAGCCTTCAGCAAGATGAGGTGGTCTTGCCTGCCCCAGCTTGCAGAAGAGGCAGCAGTCCGGACCTTAATGTCACATGGGAAGACTAGACCCCTCCGTGGACTCTGAGGCCCCGCCCTCCTGTCCTGGGCCGCCCCTGCCGGGCACACCCTGTTCAGAGAGCGTTCGTTCACCCCACCCAGCCCAGAACCAGGAAGCTAGAGTGCTCGGCTGTTCCTGCTGGAACCGCCAGCCTTGGGTGGCTAGCAAATTCCTTAAAACAAAGTGGAATGCACAAATCTGTTCCTCAGCCTCACAAGCCATATTTAAAGGGCCGAGGAGCCTCTTGTGGCTGGTGGCTGCCACACTGGATGGGACTTGTAGGGAACTTGCTATCCACACAGGCAGTTCTTTTCCAGATCAGATGGTCTCATCCGGGGGACTCTGCCTGCAGGGGATATAGGCCACGTCTGTTGACACCTATGATCACCTATGATCGTCACAACTGGGGGTGCTCCTGGCATTGAGTGGGTGTGGCCAGACATGCTGCTCACCACTCCACAGCGTCAGGACGGCCCCCAGGGACTGACTTGGCCTCAGGGTCAGCAGTGCTGAGGCGGAGTCCTGGGCTCCCTGTCCCCTGACACCCTGTTCCACATCTTTGTGGCTTCAGGCATGGAACTTACCTGCTCCCTGTCCCGACTGTGTCCTCCTGCATTGGCGGGGGGGGGGGGGGGGGGG